GCAACTGAAAATATGGATGAAGAACCTCAGTTTAGCTTGTTTGTTGCGCTAGCGCCGAGCTAATACATATAAGGCAATATAACATGAGGGCTAATGCTAAAGCTAATGAAATGAATGAATGTAATTCATGTAGATGAATGTAATTTCTATCATAGGTACCAAAATCCCTGCTGCAGTGTGTGCAAACCTGGTCAAGAACTACAGGAAACGTCTGATCTCTGTAATTGCAAACAAAGGTTTCTGTACCAAATATTAAGTTTCATTTTTCTGGTGTATCAAATACTTATTTCACACAATAAAATGGAAATTAATTCTTTAAAAATCATACATTGTATTTTTCTGGATTTTTGTTTTAGATTCGATCACTCACAGTTGAAGAGTACCTATGATAAAAATTACAGTCATCTACAAGCTTTGCAAGTGGGAAAACCTGAAAAAAATCAACAGTGTGTCAAATACTTGTTCTCCCCACTGTATGTATGTATTTTGATGTCTTACTGTAATATTGTCTTAAAAGCATAAACATCTTATATAATATTGCTCTATTGTTGTAATATATTGCAGTTTTGTGTAAACGATCGTCGTTGGCAATGTTGCCTATTTCTACACACATTGAAATCAACCACACATAGTGCACTGTGCCATAGCTCCAACAGTTTCATGGTCTGTCATGCAGAAGATCAGGGTTCAAGTCCCGGCTACTACAACTTTAACAAAAAAATCTCTTCAAACTACATATTTTCTAATTGTCATATTCTCACAAAATTAACCTCATTACGAACACCTGCTGACTTGGCAGGCACAAGCTGGTACTTCATTAAAAAGCACATTTGAACTTGGTCACAGTTCATCCTGCAGGTCCACTGCTGCAGGCAGAGGCATGCTACAAGGCAATGCACACTTGTTTTTACATCGTAAAAACTGATGTCTAGTATACTTTGCTATCCAACTAAATTATTCGGTTACTTAAAGCCAACAGCTCAGGGGCAGGACAAGTATTATTATCTTTCACTTTTTAAATTAGTACATTTTGTTGCATTTAATCATAAATTTAAAGTTTACCATTGATATAAGGAACAATTTTCATATTAAGTAAAAAAATTATTATTTTTTGGACCAGACAGGAGTCGTCCGCAGGCCACATTTGGCCCGCCAAACCTGAGTTTGACATGTGCTTTAGAAGATGGGAAATGATGAAAAAGAAAGAGTTAACTTATGAGAGCGTATGGTACAGGCCATAGGTCAGGGCTATTCAATTGGCGGCCGCGAGTGACCAAAGTTCGACCCGCCAATTGGTTAATTCATCTCTTAAGCCCAAACCCCTGGTTTTCTAAAATTACTCTTAGTTCTTTTAGTTAAACAGAGACATGTTTGGTATCTACAGAAACATCAGAATCTTGGCTAGAAGCTGATAAAAACCATTTCTTTAAACAGTCAAGACAGTTAAAACTACAAGCAGTTGAAGATAAAATGAAGAAAGTAAAAATAAAATTGGTTTAAAAATTTGGCAAGTCAGAGATGTCAAAATATTATTTGTGTCTAATAATAGGAGGCATAATGTGTTCTTTTTTTGTTTTTGATAATGTGTATTTATCACTACTTTTATAGGGATCTGTATGTTGTACTCATAATTAAATGCAGCAAAATAAACTAATTCAAAGGTAACGTAATACTTGGTTTATTTACATAATAACTTGCTGGATGTTCGGCCCCTCAGCTGTTCACCGGCAGTAACTGTGGCCCCCGGAGCAATTTAGTTGAATAGCCCTGCCATAGGTCATCCATTTAGCATATTAATACATCATTTGCTCTTTAACATTTGTGTAGTTTTAAAACTAAACTTTTTCTTCCACTGGTCTTTTTATTGTAAGAAATTCTCAACTATTAGTATTTCTTTATAAGTTAAGGGTTTTGTTGAGGTTTATTCTGTCAAAATGCAACTAAAAAGTAAAGCCCAAAATGAAGTGCTTTGTTTGAAGTAATCTTGCATAATTCACTATTAGTATGGAAGTAGTGTAGAAGGATTAGTCATATTAGTGGCCTTTATACTGACAGAGAATAAGACATTTCTTTATTTTTAACTTAATTGAATTTCTGTAAAACTTTACCCACTGACACACATTTTGGTTTGCCTTATTTTTTTTAGAACCAGAGTCGATCATAGCTTCCCCTTCCACATACATGGGATTTAGAGTGTTTTTGACATTGTGCTGATGGAAAGTTAGTCACTTTTTTATTATTATTTTTTTTAAGAAAAATAAGTAAAATATGTTCAATCATCATTTAAAAACCAACAGTTTTATTATTGGGGTTGTTTATTTGTTGAGATTTATAGTTTTAAATATATGATTGTGAGTAAAAATCCCCTTTTTTTCTTAATATTATAAATCTGGATTACCACGGACTGCTGCTGGTGTTGATCCAGTTCTAGAAAAATAATGTTTTACATAAATAAAAATCTCAGTTTCCTCACGTCTAACAGATACTCTTGTGTTTTCCTGTTTCCTGCTGGTCATGTTACAATCATTTGCAGAACGTGGGCTGAGTTTGCAGCATTTTAACATTTAAATGAATTTGTGTTTTCAGACCTGCTCTTTGGTGTTCCTGGAAAGTACACCGGAGTCAGTCACTACAATAAGAAGCGAGTGGTGACGTACACGATCACCGTGGTTCTTTCCAGCTACGATGCAAGGTGAGCTGCACGTACAGCATAAGAAAAAAAGAAAAATCAGGTTTTATTAAAAGAGTTTCCTTCTTTTGTTTTTAATATTTATTTTTTACATTTGAAATCAGTAATAAAGTCTGACTGGGAGGACTTTTTAGATCTCAATGCTTCCTTTGTTTCACTTGATGTAATTGAATTAGAAAATAATATTCATGCTATGCCTGAGCGATGAACCGAAAAATAACCGATACCGACATTTATGTTAATAACTGACGTCATTTTGTCCGTGTCGGTATTTTAGGTATTAAAAAAAATGAGGAAAAGAGAAATCTGCTCGTTTTCTGTTGCTGTCTCAAGCTGCCCAGTCTGATCCAGACGTTGCGTTCAACAAATCAAAATAAACAAAAAAACCCCGCAGCTTTATCCAGTCAGAGCAGAGCAGGGCGGGTCTTTCTGATGTCGGTGCAGCAGTCTGCAGGATAAACACTGGTCAGCTTGCAGCTCCTGTCCTGAGTGAGCAAACCCCACCCTTCACACTTCTAACCTGAGCTACCAGAGACGTTGGTATCTAAAATCTAACACACTATAAGTTTATGTGTTCAGAGCTTCATTATTGAACAGATATGTCTGACTTTGCTCACGTGACCAAACTCCTCTCCTCAACAGTGCTGTTACAGGAGCGCAGCGCGGCGCGCAAAGGCTGAGTTGTTCTGTGAGAGCCACTGTTTCAGCTCTTCCAATGAAACAATATTAACTCTAACAGATGAACATTTCTTTGTCCCATATTATAGAAAAGATGAGTCTCCACTTAGCGTTACCCCACCGCCCACACACACACACACACACACACACAAATAAATAAATAAATTTTAAAAATGCTATGTTCCTGCTATGTAGTTTATCATAAACATCTACAAATTTCTTTCTTCTCAATCTAGCTTGCTTATATTTAGAACCATACAGGGCTTTAGAGTGCGACTAATTTGGTCGCAAATGCAACCTTATTTTTTAATAGTGCGCCTTAAAAATATTTCCGGTCGCACTGGTGCGCCCAATCATTCGAGAAGGAGGCGGGTGTGGTTGCCCGCTGAAATAAAAAGTCCCCATGTCTCGTAATAAAGCTATCTAGCATTATGAACACAGCGCTCCGCTTTACACCCCGCATGCGCACACACACACACACACACACACACACACACACACACACACACACACACACTTGTTCTTCTATCCCAGGGGTCTGCAACCTTTACAATCAAAAGTGCCATTTCTGCTACTTATCTCACCAATAAAATGTGTCCAGAGCTGCAAAACAAGCTACTGGTGGTCCGTGGGCCTTTTTGAGGCCTTTTTGGGAACCTTTACGGCCAATGGAGGTGACATTATAAAACAAAATAATGTATTGTGAATTTTATTATTTATTATATTTTTATACATCAGCACAAATGAAAAGACCATATTCATGTAAACAAGAAAAATACTGTAAATAGTTTATACAGAATTTTATAAAGACTAGTATAAATGAACTATTCAGGCATATGTTGTTTGTCTAATTATTATAAAGTCTTAAAATTCTTTAGAGGTAATTCTGATGGATTTGAGAGAGAGATCATAGAAAAAGTTGAATAATTAAAGTACAGGCTACAACAGGCTAGCATGAGCTAACATGTTTTATTTTGTATTAGTAGTATTGCTCACGTTTTTGCATACAAATTGATTTCTGTCGTGAGTATAAAAAAAAACAAAAGAAATATTTTCTTACACTCTCAAAAACACACACACACACACCCAAAGAAATATTCTGTTATGTTTGGTCACTTTCTCAAAGAGCCACTGCAGAGGGACAAAAGAGCCACATGTGGCCCCAGAGCCGCAGGCTGCAGACCCCTGTTCTATCCTCATTGGGACTTTCTAATTGTCCTCTCCATGAAGCAAAAACATGCGCGCACACACGCGCTCTGGCGCAAAGTGAATCAACTGTGTTGTTACCTCCGCCAAGGGAGAGGTAATGTTTTCGGTCGTGTCTGTGTGTCTCTCTGTCTGTCTGTCTGTCTCTTTGCCTGTCTGTCAGTCTGTGGACAACATTACTCAAAAACTTGTGAATGGATTGTCATGAAATCTTTACCACATGTGGATACTGGGCCAAGGAACACACCTTTAAATTTTGGTGATGTTCCTGATCACGATGCGGAGGAATTGTTTTTTCTTTTAACACTCTGACATCGGCAAAGCTGTGATGCTTTCACAGGGTGTGGGTTTCAAAGTGTCCAGCAGGTGGCACTGTAGTATTGGTGTGCCCCTTTGTAACTCTATTACAGGAAAGGGGAAATTGGTCTTGGCGGAGGTTTGCACTCTCCGAGTGCTTCTCGTTGTTGTTGTTGTTTTTTTCTTTTCAAACCAGAGTCAGAAACTTTTTTTCCTTGTTAACTGTGGAAATTAAATGTGGATGGTTGCTTGCACTTTCGTCTCAGTAGTAAAGTCCATCTTGCAGTCTGGTTCTGCTCTGCAGCAGATCACTCCAGCAGCATAAGGAAGCTATGGCAGGCTGCTTTTACATATAATGGGCTTTACCAAAGTTATGTTCCAGGTTCTGAAAATGGTTTTATGACTACACCGCTTAGTTTTTTAGTGAGAGATACATAAAATTCAACTAATACAAATTAAGTTGAAGACTTTTTCATGTTATGTTATTTTCATTATTTTAAAAAGCTTTTTCTCATTTAATAAATATTAGTAATATTTCTGCTGTTAATCATAAAATCCTGAAGGCCAAACTACAGGAGTTGCCCATCTGAAGGGCAGGTGTATTTTTAAAGATAAAACCATGAAATGTTTAAGATATTTATAAAATGTTCAACCCTTTAAAAATTTGCACTTAGAATTTAGAATCTCTTTCATTTCGTTTATCTTTGATGTTTAAGTCAATATTTCAGGTCATAGAATCGTTTTAAAATTACTTTTCAGTAAGTTGTATGTCTACAATTCTGGTTCAAATATAGAACTTTATTTTTGCTAGATTGTTAACAAATTATTTGTGAGTTAATATTGCCTTAATGGACAATGATTTTAAAAAAGTGAACCATTAAAACATCAATGTTAAATGTGATGCGTTTGCAAATTTGGGTGCACCTAACTTTTGTACTGGTGCACCTAAGGAAAAATGTTAGGCGCACCGGTGCGACCAGTGCAAAAAGTTAGTCTAGAGCCCTGTTTCATGCTCAGGATGACTAGAA